GTAAGAAACGCTGCAATTATAGAAATAAGAACCACGTTACAAGGCAGTACCACGTGATAGTACCAGTACCACGTGATAGTATTGCTCATTAGCTTTTATCAAAACCCTTTAACTCCCATAAGTGATCAAGACAGAATTTCTCCTTACAATATCAAAACAAAAACAAACAGACAAATGACTAGAGTAAAGGAAAATATCAATTAGGGGACCAATATTAACTAAAATCATAAGTTGATCAAAGATCTTGGGAGTGAAAGGGTAAATGATTACAGTGGGGTTTTATCCTCCGACCCAAAAGTTTAAACCTTCTTGTTCAGCGTAGTAAACAGCGCCATGAAAATACAGCCCTGTAGCTTCCATTGGAATGGTCACACGATGGACAAGTTTTTTACAGAACTTTTATTTTTTCTTTTCTTCAGAGTTTTCTTCAGGCAGCATTTCCACATGAAGTCAATTCTCTATTGCGGTATAGATCCCAGCGATAAAAGGTGAGAGGCAAGGGTTAGACTTTTTTTAGGATTTTTTACAATAAATCATTTAAAGTTGAGCGTAACATTGGATCGTGCAGTTTGATCATCCGGGTGGTGGTAGTCCTGTGCGCATTTGAAGCTGTAGCTCCTTTTGGTGTAGTTGCCGCAGTCGATGTAGTTTAGTGCAGTCGCGGTAGTTTGTCTCGATGTTGTGTATTATGAAGCTGCGGTAGTTTGGCAGGTCGGTGGAATCATGCTGCCGCAGTCGATGTAGTTTAGTGCAGTCGCGGAAGTTTGTCTCGATGTTGTGTATTATGAAGCTGCGGTAGTTTGGCAGGTCGGTGGAATCATGCTGTGCGGCGCAGTTGTGGGATTTGATGAAAAGGTGGCTACTTTGCAGCTCTTACTGTTTTTGTTGAAAAGTACTTAACAGCCCTGGTGTTCTTGTATCTTATTGCAGGTGGGATCTGAAGACCGCTACATACAGTAGGAAGTCAAAGTAAGTCACGCATTCAAAAGGAAGAAATAATGCCTCGCTTATGGAGGGGATGGAAGGGGGGGGGGTTCTTTACGGGCTGATTCCTCCCGGTTAAAATCTGGGATTTTGGGCTAACCCCCCCCCCTCCCATCCCCTGCATAAGTTAACAGAGGAACTTAAGATGCGGAGTTGTATCACGAGTGTGTGAGTGGTGTGTTTGTTGGATTGCAACTCAGCAAGGGGAATCTTTGTAAACAATGGTATGGGGAAAGTTTTCGCGGGCGGGAGTTGGGAATCAAATACAGGATTAGCGGAGAGTCCATTGTAGTCCTAGACAAGATTATCGTGAAAAACACCTTGGAGGCGCGGGGGCGTGGATACTACTTACAAAAGGCTTCACAGGGAGTCTTCAGGACATTGGACCACATAAAACCAATACAAATTTTATTCTAACATTCTAACATCTCCCTTTGTTACTTGTCTTCGGTAGATCATTCGGTCTAGTGATGCGAAAAACTGGAGGAGTACACAATGAGTGTCATTTATTTGGAGAAATTTGTAAGGACTGGCCAGCCAGCATCCTCGTTAATATACTTAACAGGTCCATGAATTCGTCGACGTAACGCAGCACAAAGTAATGTAAAACAACGCCTAGTATATCAGCGGAATGTAACGGTTACGGAGAGAGGAGTCAGTTATATGTAATATCAGATGTCGGAGGTTAAGTAAGAGAAGTCTCAAAGAATGGTTAAATATGACTCGGAAACAAAGACAAGAAAAACGCTGCAAACTTTTCCGAATTGGAAAACAACTGCACGTCGAGTTTATATCGAACTAGTTACATGGTGGACCCTGATCATCAACGGAAGCTTTCGGAAGTCTTCGCCACCACTTTGTCGTATCCGGACAATCATCGTACTTCCGTTCTGCGTAATCTTCCAGGGAATATCACTGGGATGTAAAGGAGATAAAAGGACTAAGTTAATTACACATGAATAGATAGATTTTTGATAATGGTAATCTTGAATTACGAGAAATGAATAGAATTTTATATATTATATATTTACATATACTGTTATGTATGAATTAATGCCAAATTGGCTCAAGGTACATGTAATCTCCTTCTTGGGGAACAAATAAGCCTAAAAAAATCTAATTATATACAGTTAAACTACGAGAAGAAATTCATAAGGTGAGAGAAGAGAATGATAACGAGAATGATTTGCGCGTAAACTGGAAACGAAAAAGGGGAGAATGGGCGGATTATTTTTTTATTTTCGTTCGCTAATTTTTTCTTTCTTTCCTTTTTTTTTTTTTCCTATTCCACCTTTACCTTTTTTAGGTCTTTTGATTTATTGGAAAGATCAATCTGAGAAAGGTGAACTGCTTATGGCTTAATGTATAGTAAAATTTTGCCGCGTAGAACAAAGTCCGCCCGTTAGAATTTTTTTCGTTTGAAGGGATTTGTTAATGAAGAAACTAATCGCCAGTATAAATTTATTTGTAGGCGTAAATGAGGTCATTTTGAAGGGTTCCAGCATGTATCTCTTGGATTTAAATGCGTTATGTTTTCTTTGGAAACGAGGAAACGTCGAGGTCGTTGCCAAGCCATGATATCCAAAGTGAGCGTTAGAGCGAAGTAGAAAACCTTGGGTGTAGCTTGTTTTAGTTGAAATTTAGACGAGTGCAGCGAGTGATGTAAATATGTTTTTTTTGCCCTATTACAGCTCTTTAATGCGCTGGTCAGTCAGCTTTAAACACATAACAAGCTAAATACGCTTATTTCCATTTTGTGCATTGAAATTCGATGGTTGTTGATGCTCTTTTCGATCTCCTTCACGGAACGCGCCTCATACGCGTTTCAGTCAAAGTGCGAAAGTGATACTCTGCTTCTATGTCGGACAACTTGCAAGACAACTTTAATAATAGAAAAAAATCAGTAACTTCTCATTGAATACCTTACTGATTTCCTCTATGTTTTTTTGTTATATTTTTCGCAAGAAATCCCAGAAAACCTCGATGATTTTACGGGAAGGTCTCCATGGGGTGATGTCCATTTAATTTCTTTCCCTTAAATTTAACGGAAATATTTTTACGGTAAACTCTTCTCACGACTATCGGTTAAAATTTGCCGTTTCTTTTTACTCTTAAAGGCTAACGTTAAACCCCGTCGAGACCCTCCTGCGGCACTCTTAGTGCTTGGCTTCTGTATTTGTCACAATTACAAGTTTTTAAAGTGTTTTAAAGGTGAACGTTTCTAAGTAAAGAATTCATATTATTTTCATATTTTAGAAACGAGTGTAGAAATGGCATTCTCTCCTTAAGTAAAGTTTTGTAAAGAATTTCAGGATTTTGAACCAAGGGTTTTAATTTCATACTTATATCTTCTTTTGAACAGAGAAAATATTAAAGTGGTCTAGTACCGAATATTTTAATTATCATCGGTTGTGTCTTTCTTGACTTAACCCTATATAGTACTTGACGCAAAAAGTATCCGAGGTGTTATTCACTGAATCAATTTAGATGCATTTCGCTCAATTGAAGGGCACCCGCTTTCTACAATCAGCTAAAAAAGAATTCTGAGTACATTTTGAACAAGAAATACGTATTGAAACTGGATAAAGATGTGTTCGTCATGACACGACAAAGAAAACAATTTGGAGGCCCCATGAGGAGTCAAATCTGAGACCTTTGGATTCCGTGTTTAAATCCTCTACCACTGAGCCACAGATACTCTAGTGTGAGCTGGGCCCCTACGGGATTCATATCATTATGTGACACGCGTCCCACATACTGCCAGGATAAGCTATGTCAAAAGCGTGATATAAGTGTAAGGATTAAGAGAGATATATTTCAGCTTGGTCATAAAAAAGAGAAAGATGCCTTATGCATTTTAGCTTGTTTAGAATGTTGACACTGTTTTGTAAGAAGAAATGAAGATGACCACGTGCCTTGGGTGTGGCAGTGCGTTTGCCATTAGACTTCCACAAAGCCATGAAATGAACATACGCACCTATTATCATTATCATTACAATTATTATTGTTATTATTAAGATTAACAGTGTTTCACTTCCTTAAGGCCTATTTACACGGCACGACTTTGTCGCATGCGACAAGCTTACAGTCGACATGACTTTAATTTTGTGTAGTTGTTTTGATTTACAAAACAATTCGTGTCGTAAAGTAATATCGCATGCGACAAAGTCGTTGATCCCTAGGAGAGACATTACAGTCAAACTTTAATTTTGTGTATTTTTGCTTTAAAAACAATATCACCCCTGAATCAAACAATAAGATCACAAAAAAAGTCTCCTATTCAGCACCCTAGGAGATGAATAGAAAACAGTCTAAAGAATATGCATACTGATTTTCGGGTTTAAAGGTTTTTAAGGAGACATGTCATAAATAATAAATGAGAAGTCATTGGATGTAACAAGACCACATATACTTTTCACAATCCCTGTTATATAAATTAAGCAGAAGTCTACCAAGGTAACCTTTTCAACACCAATCTGTGATTATTCTCTTCAGTCCCTCTCCACTTGTCTGATTTCAATACAGACACTTTCTGGCCAATTTGTTGGACAAGAACTCTTGTTTCAGCCTGTCACATTTGGACATTTGAGACCCACACAATACCAAACTGTCTATTGATAGTTAGCTGTCACTTAACTTTACTGTACAATTTTGTCTTGACCACCATCCATTTCAATACACAAGCATATTTTATCAAATCTAATGTCCAATTTTGGGCCCAAGAGTTCAATTTTGGACAACATAGATATCTATTTTTTCTTCTTTTTTGGGGATACTCATGTCCATTTTCAGACACTTATCGTCCTTTTTTCAGATATCAGTGTCTGCCTTTTAACCCTTTATACCTTAACATCAGTATTTATATTCTCCGTACTGTTCTCTATACATTTCCTAATGTGTTGGCATGGAGAATTTAATATATTTTATATGGAGAATTTGTTTAAAAAATCAAGATTTTCTTCAGTTGATTATCATTTCCTTTATTCTCATGACCTTAATGCTTGATTCAGGGCTGATATTGAAAGGAGAAATTAGATGCTAGTCACTCTCAGGGATTAAAGGGTTAAATACAAATGGTTGTTTTAGTAAAACAGGGAGGTAATACCACACAAAAAGAAGATTTTAACTCTATAAAACTGCAACTATTGCAATAGTTTCAGGCACAAATACGGCACGAGTTTCTGGGAGGTGAATAGCAAAGGATATTCAACATTTGTAAGCCAATCAGAGCACACCTTTAACTCTAACTGCTGTTTCAATACATACTAAATTTATTATCCAATGTTTTAGATAACCAGCATCCCATTTTGAAAACTAATGTCCATTTTCAGGTAACAGTGATCAATTTTAGACAAAAGTGACCATTTCTTGTATATCACATCATGCCAAAGTAAACATAGACTTCACCATACATGTCATAATATATACATATGTATATTTAATTCAGTCATGGACATCTGTGTTTTATTTACAGTAAAATTGTCTTGCAATGAGTAATACCAGACAGCCAAATAAGACAAGTGACTGAATGAGAATATGTTTATATATAAAAAACCTTCAAGTTTATGTTCATGTCAGTATCAAAGTAAACAAAATGCTCATAAGACTGCTGATCAACTGGTCAGGTGGTTCATGTGTCCCTGTTAAAAAATAAAAAAATACTAGTTATCAATTGGCAATGGCACAGAAGAAAGGAAAATTTTGTCTTTGGGGTGAGAGGTGTTCTTTGAAGAATACATTGCTGGATGAGGCAATACTGACTTTATAAAAAAGGGACTAGAATGGGCATCCCAGGATTAAATGTTCATTTACAATTTTCTCATCTTGAAAAGCTTCCAAAATGTTCTTTAAAACTGACATTTATTAATAGGATAATTCATCATGCGATTAAAGAGATCTGTATACTCTAATTGGTTAAAGATAACATCATTTCTTACTGCAGAATAACTGTGCAAGGTTTTAATGAAAACAGCTGATGTCATTTGCTCAGTAAATGTAATGCCTTCAGTTTTTGATCGGCAAGTGGTCATCATAGCATGAAAATCAAACTTAAAAAGACCTACCGCTTCTCCTCTCAAGCAGCGAAAGCAGGATGCTGAAGATGAATAATACTGAGCTATGATGGGTGGGACCTGCCAGAGAAGTGCAAAAAATGAAGCCATTGTTTCATATATATCAGGATAAATTTCTTTTACTGCTTGTAGGGAAAAATGCACACACTCTTTATTGAAAAACATCATAAACAAATCTCTCTATGAGAGCTTTCCATGATGGCACAAGGAGGGCAGGAAAAGCTGTTCTGTCTAGTGTATAGCTCTGTGAGAAGAATAACAAAAGAAAAGAGGAAGAAAGAAACAGAGTTGCAGTGTTATGATAAATTGCTTATTGACTTACTGAAAAATATTTGACTCAAGGGTCATGACACATGCAGTGAGCATAGCTCAGACTGCACGACATGACAGAGACCTTGCCCAACCTAAGTCGATAGGTACACAATATATACTCTTTCATGGTTTCTAGAGCATATTCGTCCTTCAAAAACACAAATTAACTCACAGAAAAGGTCTGCTGATGGAGTGCTCTACTTCTTGTTGTTGTTGTTGTTGTTGTTGTTGTTGTTGTTGTATCACATGAAATGTCCATTTCCTGCGACTGATTCTCTTGATTCAATATGTTACAGTTAATGTCCTTGTAGCTGTGTCCAGTGAATGAAGTAGTGCAAGGGTCAGATGATGATGGACAATTATTATCTGGTCGTTGATGTGTTAAAACCATGGGCATTGTGAAACTTAAGGATCTGTTCTCTGATCCCACATTGCAAGCTTTATCCAAACTCCAGCAACAGTCTTCGAGACATGGTCGCTTCTATAGATATGGCAGAGACAAATTATATTTTTTACGGTGGTTGTGAATCTATCAACTCTTTACACTCTAACATCAGTATTTATATTCTAAATACTCTTCTCTATACGTTTTCTTTGGTACTGACAAGGGAAATTTGTTTAACAATCAAAGCTTCCGATCGTAGGTTGGCGACCATTTCCTTTATTGTCAAGATCTTATTGACCTTTTAAGCAGTATCACTTTAACGAGAAGTTAGAGGCTGGTTACCCTTAGAGTTTAAAGGTTTAATTTACCTTTGGAAGTCAGTCGATCTCCTTAGATCGATTTTCCTGTAAGAGTAATAATCAATTTTTTGTGCTCGAAGGAAAAATCCCCTCGGAGGAATAACTGAATGAGTGACTTGATCATTTTCATACTGTTAATAATATGCAATATTATGGCATTTTTCATGGAAATCTGGGACGACTATAACTTCAAAATAATTCGTAAAGTACGTTGAAAGCGAAAGTAGATTAAAACAGAAAAAAGATTCTCAAAACACGTGTTGTAAGTATCCATCAATGTTTACCTTCGATTGTGTTTCTGAACAGCTCTCCGGAGCCGCTTGCCGCTTTCTCGCAAAGTTACAAGAATTCACTGCATCAAAAGTAAGTTCTACTTCCATATTCAGACAGATCAAGGATCAATTTGTGTTACTTAGCTGGTGCATTGTTTACAAATCTCCAAACCGTCTGAATATTCAAAGTATCACTCGCCTGATGCATGACGGTCGCTCAAAAGAGATTGTTCAGTGTATCTTATTCGAACTACAGATTACTATTTTCCTCTCCAGTCCACCTCCAGTATTCAGGCAAAAATATGGCGGTCAGTTGTCGATTTCCAATTCTCTAGGTTACATTCAGAAAAGCAAGAACAACTACAGTGAATGGTTTTTTTATGGTGCTTGAGAATGAAGAAAATTCTATGTTCATCTCTTACCTCATCATAAGAAACAAAATTTAGCTTGAATAAGCTAAAACTGTTCTGATCACTTCCGGCTTTGGTGTGCATGTGTGCTGTTGCAGGATTTTCCAACTCGTGGTGAATGTTTGAAGGAAAAATCCGCAATGTCTAAACGCAAAAATGAAGATTCAGGTCTAGGTGGGATCAAGCATTTCAAAAAGGAAAAAAGTAAGTATACAATGTAAATTGCAATAGAGATCTAGAGTAGAATGGTCTGATATGAATTTCACACTTGCGATCCTTACGTTCAATCGATAGTGCATCCCGCATTAAGGTTCAGCAAGTTTGTGCAACTATTAAAATCTGAGATCCACTTTGTGCGCGGTCTGTAAATAACAATGAATGTTTCAATACAATTGACGTTTTTTCTACGAAATTTCACAATCTCAGGGATCTTGCAACGACCGAAGCAAATCCCAATTTTTCTGTAGAATGAACCAGGTAAGAATGCTAAGGGAGCAACCTGAGGATAGTGACTAAAGAGGCCCCCTTTTCTTTCTTCATGGTTAGAACCACAGACTTCCAGATTGAGGGTCCAACAAGCTCTTCATTCAACCATAGGGGCCAAGATTCTAAATCTATCTTTAACTTTTTCACTTAAAAAAAATTATATGTGAAGCCTCCAGTAGATTAAACACATATACTGAAACCAAAAAGAGACACTTCTTCTTTTATGAAAGGGCAGCCAAAGATCAGCAGACCCACTTGCTAAGAGAAATGCAGGATTGTTTCTTGGTAGTACCCTGTCCCACTCCCTGACCATGCCTGTTAAACTGGCTAATTGATTTGTGATTGTGTTTGGTTTGATTTGCATTAGTAATTTCTAGTGGTTTGTTGTGAGTGTTTTTAATCTGTAGACCACACTGAAAGCTTCCAAGACACCTATAATTGTTTCACCTTATTAAGTAATTTTTTCCATCATGATAGGCTGTAAGAAAAGGTGATACTAAGATAACGTTAATAGGAAATATCCATCAGAAAACAGATACAAATCAAATGCATTCAGTAATTGA